GCTTTTTTAAATTTGTGTTGTTGGTTTACAAAAGAAACAGAGAGGAAAGCACGAAAATTTTTTTAAAAAAGGAGGAAGAAGTTGTACAAAAAAAAAAGAGGAAGAAAAAAGAAAAAAAAAAGGAGAAAGAGGAAGTAAGCAACACAATTCTATGGTTAAAATTCCTTATATAGAGAAGAAATCTGTGGCCAAATCCTTAAAGAAGAAGGAATCCTACTACAATAAGGAGTTAGAAATTCTCCTTAAGTTATATTCTAATTAGGAGATAGCAGTTTTGTTTGTTTCTTCTTCCTAAGTTAGGAATCCTACTATCTTAAAGATTCGTCAATCCAATTCCTACTAGGAATAGTCAAACTGATTTGTCTTTCTTGCTTTTTTTATTTTATTTTATTGTTTCGTCCGATTGTTCCAATATCCAAGAGTCCTAATCTGAATTTACCCCAAAGTGCAATTTTTGTCCAAAACTTTCGTGTTTTTCATGAATCCCAAAATTTGGTCGATACGTATTCATAGCTGTCTTCCTTTTAAAACTTGAATTTTGGTTGGTAAGTTTCTGGTGAATTGCTATTAGGAATTTTGAATATTGTTTGATTAGTTTGAAAAGAACTGAAAGAGAATCATGAGTGGGAAAAAGGCAAGAGTGGTGAGCATATTAGAGGGTAAAAGCCAATTTAGTGAAACACAAGCAAAATTGAGTTATACATATTTTTTTTTGAGTGAAACACATGAGGGAGTGTGGTGAGGTCCTTTCCATATTATTTCTGTCACGTCCCAGAACCCGAATCTGAAGCGCAACAGATGCCGTGCACTCGTGAACGGGTCCCACGAATGCACAAGGCTCAGAACTTATCCAATTCATGTCTGACAATCCAATAACTTAGATCGGATATTTCCAAATTAATTCTATGTCCAACATGACTTAAACTCAAAATCTCAAGGTCAAATCTTTTGTAAACTAACAATCCATCAAATGAATGTATAAAATCTCCGATTAAACTTTAGTTTACAAGATCATGATCTATATCTCAAATCTATATTCACTTTACAAAATGGCTAGCCTTCTAACTCGTCACTCCCCTTGGTTTCCCGTCCTCAGTTTCGCTTCCTAAAATGGTGGGCAAGGAAAACTATGAGATAACTCAGTAAGTAAATATGGATAGCCCTTGGGTAAAACTTTTAGCATGCCTGATAAACATTTTAGCATAACAAACGCTCAATGATAAACTATTAATGCAGAATCAAATTCAATTCAATTACAAACCATTCAATGACAAACCGTCAATGCAAAATCAGATTCAGTTCAATAACCAATCGTTCAATGACAAACTGTTCATGCAGAATAAAACTCATTAGTAGTCTCATCTATAGGTCATGGCCAGCGTTTATAAACCTCCTACTGGCGGGCACAGTAGTTACCAATGTTTAACCCCATTGGCAGGGTTACAGAAGTACCAGTGTTTAACAACTCCCACTGGCAGGCGTTAGTAATGGTACCAGTGTTTAACAACTCCCACCAGCAGGCGTCAGTAATTACCAATGTATTCGCCCATTGGCAGGTGTCAGTAGTACCAGTGTTTAACAAACTCCCACTAGCAGGCGTCAGTAATTACCAATGTATTATCCCATTGGCAGGATGAACCGGTTCTACAGAAATACATGTGGACATGTGCTAGCGTTTATAAACCTCCCACTAGCGGGCACAGTAATACATGACCATATCAGAGACAAAACCATGCAGAATTTACAAAAAAATCTAAAATCTGAAATTCACAATCAATCTCAAATTTCCTAAATAACCAGAAAAGTCCATGTGAACATGGATTTGACAGAAAACACAGAATTTACCAAAATTCTCAGTTCATCAAAGCAATTCAGTCAATTCCAAATAAGCATGCTCAACTCCAGAAAAACAATGAAATTCTCATTTTCATTCCAATCATGCTTAATTCCAGTAAAACAATGAAATCCTCATTTTCACTCCAATCATGCTCAATTCCAGAAAAACAATAATTTTTCATAAAAATCATCACAATTTTCATTTCAGTTTAATCACACTAGGATGCTGATAAAATCAATTTAAACCTTGCCACCATCTCAAAAACAATTCGAAAGGCATTACCATACTTTACTTACCTCACTCGCATAAAACCGAAGACTCGGTCTCAGTGCTAAACTGATAGAACGATCAGGAACCTAATCAAAATACCCAAGGGTTAATACCGCACTACCACAAATTCACAGTGAAATCATCTTTAGCACTACCCCTAATCACGGTACTATTTCTATCAATCTCCACATGACTGGACATCTCCAAATTTATTTTTATATCACAAACTAAACATTTAAATCCCCATTAATCGTTGACCCTCAGTGTGTGAACAGTACCGTAAACAGTACCTCATGAACAGTAACTTCAACTCCCAAAATTGGCAAAACATAGCAAATTCATGGGGTTTCTCAAATAAGCTAATTTTCTACTTAAACCACACTTAAAAACATAGCTTAAAGCTACCAAAATTCATTCCACCTTCCAGCACAATTTCACCTAAATTTCTTCCATTTTCGGACAGCAAAAAGGGCAATTCAAAAGCAGAAAATCCACTCAACACAAGGCAACAATTACATGGATAAATTGGACTTGGAAGAGCCGGCAACTTACCAGAATTTTTCGGCAAGCAAAAGCCGGTTCCGGCGAACATGGAAGCTGACGGATTTGGAGAAGAAGCTCATGACCTACCTCAAAATTGAGGGAAATACAAGCAATTAAAGTAAACCCAACTCGAATTACAGCTAAAGGGATGATTTCTTAGTTGTTCCCTTACCAGAAAAACCGAGAAGCTCTCCACCGGCAAGAGCAGCTCGCGGACAGGGGATGAAGAGCAGACCAGATCTGGAAAATTCTGGGTTTAACAGGTGCTCTAGAACAAGAAAAGGAGGAGAAAATCCCAAGTTCTACCGGTGTTCCCGGTCGGAAAAGGGGTTGCGGTAGCTGGGGGGCTTCTCGGGTTGCAGGGGTCGGGAGGAGAAGAAGAGCAGGGCACGCGGGTCTGATAAGGAAAGAAAGAAAGAAAAAAAAAAAAGGAAAAAGAAAAGCAATTGATCGTTATACTAATTTCCTTTCTTTTTAGTCCCTCAACTTTTGAAAATTTTGCTATTAAACCCCTCAATAATATTTTTCCTCAAATAAGTTCCCAACTCAACTTTAATATTCTAGAAATTTTGGGGTATTACAATTTCTAACCCCATTTTGCAGATTATAAGCATGTCACACAACCAAGAAGAAAACTCAAGTGAAGAACTTCCACAATAAACCCTTCCAAACCTATAGGTGCAAGCGATATTGGGAGAGACACGACAGATGGTGAATAGGTTAATTGAACCCATGCAAGAGCAATTGGAAATGTTGCAATTGGATAATAGGAGGCAGCAATGAAATTCTCCTGCTCGACCACCACCTAGGTAGATGCAGCAAAGAGAACATTAGGGTGACATAGAAGGAGAAGAAGAGTTGGAAGAGTTGAATGGGCCACCATTGAATGGGGGTAGGTTTAGGCATGGGAATAGGAATAGAGAAGTTAGGAATCGAGAGGACAATAGTTGGGGCAGCATTAAGATGAAGATTCTGCCATTTCAGGGAAACGCAGATCCGAAAACCTATCTTGTGTAGGAAAGGAAGGTGGAGTTGGTCTTCGATTGCCACAATTATTTTGAGCTTAAAAAGGTGAGACTAGCAGCCATTGAATTTTCTAACTATGCTCTTTTTTGATGGGATCAGTTGGTCATGAATAGGCGTCGAAATCAAGAGCATCCCATTGAAACATGAGAAGAGATGAAGGCAGTGATAAGGAAGCGATTTGTGCCTAACCATTATTACCAGGAATTGTACAAAATGTTGCAAGGGCTTAGGCAAGGACATTAGAGTGTGGAAGAGTATTATCAAGAGATGGAGAAAGCCATGATTAGAGCCAATGTAGAAGAAGACCGAGAGGCAACCATGGCGAGATTCTTGCAAGGATTGAATCCAAACATCCATGACCGGGTGGAGATGCAACATTATGTGGAGATAGAAGACATGGTGCACATGGCCATCATCGTAGAGTGACAGCTCAAGAAGAGGGGAGGTACACGTGCTAGCCATAACCTATGGTCTAATCCTTGGAAACCAAGTTCTTCCAGAAAGGAGGACAAGCCACAAACATCCTCAACTCTTAAGCACCAATCTGAGCATAAGACTAAGAACACCAGCTATAAATCTCAAGGTAAAACCAACACTTCTACTTCTCAAAATCGTGATATTAAGTACTTTCAATGTCAAGGTAGGGGTCACATAGCGAGTCAATATCTAAACAAGCGGGTTATGGTGATGCGAGACAATGGTGAAATTGTGACCGAAGACGAAGATTCTGACACCAATGAAATGCCACCATTGGAAGGTGCCTATGAGGAGGAGTTTGTTGTATGTGGAGATTTGTTGGTGGCAATAAAGGCTTTAAGTGTGCAAGCAAAGGACGTGAATGAAGTGCAACGAGAGAACATTTTTCACACTAGGTGCTATGTCAAAGATAAGGTATGCAATGTGATTATTGATGGTGGTAGTCGTACTAATGTTGCTAGCATAACCATGGTGGAAAAATTAGGATTGCTTGCATTGAGATACCTTAGTTTGTACAAGTTGCAATGGTTGAATGATAGGGACAAGGTAAAGGTAAACAAACAGGTGTTAGTTGCATTTTGAGTCGAAAAATACGAAGATGAAGTATTTTACGATGTCGTTCCAATGCATGCTTGGCACTTGTTAGGACGACCATGGTAGTTTGATCGATGAGTCAAGCATGATGGGTTTACCAACAAATACTCTTTTGTACTCAATTAGCGTCCAATCACTCTTGTACCTTTGACACCCCAACAGGTGTATAAGGATCAAGTGAGGCTTAAAAAAGAGAGAGATCAAAAAGAAGAGAATGAGCAAAAAAAGAGAGAGTGAGAGAAAAGATAGAAGTGGAAATTCGAGTGAAAAAGAGAAAGAGGCCAAAAAATTGAGAGAGAGAAAAAAAAGTAGATTCAGCTTTAGTGAGTTTAAGAGAGGAACAACATTGTTTCATTGCAAAAAAAAAAAAGTAAGATCAAGGGAGCTTTACATTTACAACAACCCTTTATAGTACTTCTGTACAAAGAGGCATTTTTGTGCAATGATGATCTTACCGGAAATGTGCCAAGTAGTGTTATCTCTCTTTTGTAGAATTACGAAGATGTATTTCCCAAAGAAACGCCACCTAGATTACCTCCAATATGAGAGATTGAACATCAAATTGATTTTGTACCTGGTGCAACAATTCCAAACCGACCAGCCTAGAGGAGCAACCCCAATGAGACAAAGGAGCTTCAGAGGCAGGTAAGTAAATTAATTGAGAAGGGGTACTTGAGGGAAAGCATGAGCCCATGTTCTATCCTGTTCTACTTGTGCCTAAGAATGATGGAACTTGAAGGATGTGCATTGATTGTCAAGCCATCAATAGCATTACGGTAAAGTATCGAAATCCTATTCCTCGCTTAGATGACATGTTAGATGAGTTGCATGGTGCTTGTTCGAAAATTAATTTGAAAAGTGGGTATCATCAAATTCACATGAAAGAGGGAGATGAATGGAAAATAGCCTTTAAGACAAAACATGGATTGTATGAGTGGTTAGTCATGCATTTTGGTTTAACTAATGCACCAAGCACATTTATGAGATTGATGAATCATATTTTGCGTGCATTCATAGGTAGTTTGTTGTTGTTTATTTTGATGATATTCTCATTTATAGCAAAAACTTGGAAAAACATGTTGTGCATTTAAAATCCATTTTGAATGTGCTTAGAAAGGGAAAGTTATTTGCTAACTTGAAGAAATGCATTTTTTGCATCGATAGGCTTGTATTTCTTGGTTTTTTTGTTAGTGCACAAGGAATACAAGTTGATGAAGAAAAAGTCTGAGCAATTCAAGAATGGCCAAGTCCCACAAGTATAGGTGAAGTACGGAGCTTTTATGGACTTGCCAGTTTCTACCAACAGTTTGTGAAGGACTTTAGCACATTGGCAGCACCACTCAGTCACTTACCGAAGTAATCAAGAAGAACTTGGATTCAAGTGGGGCGAAGAGTAAGAAAAGGCATTTCAGCTAATCAAGTAAAAATTGACTAACGCTCCATTATTGTCTTTACCTAAGTTTGATAAAACGTTTGAGATTGAATGTGATGCTTCAAGTGTAGCTATTGGTGCAGTACTCCTGTAAGAGGGTCAACCAATTGCGTATTTTAGTGAAAAGCTAAGTGGGGCAGCTCTAAACTACCCAACTTATGACAAGGAGTTACACGCATTGGTTCAAGCATTAAAAACATGATAGCACTATCTTTGGCCCAAGGAGTTTGTGATACACACTGATCACGAATCATTGAAGCACTTAAAAGGTGAACACAAATTGAACAAGAGGCATGTGCAATGGATGGAGTTCATTGAGACATTTCCATATGTCATCTGGTATAACCAAGGTAAGGAGAATATGGTTGTTGATGTACTTTCTTGCAGGTATGCATTAATCTCTATCCTTGATGCAAAATTACTTGGTTTTGAACACATTAAAGAATTATATCCTTTAGAGCAAGATTTTTGTTAGTTTCGAGCTTGTGAGAAAAATGCAACCGGTAAGTTTTTTAGGCATGATGGTTTCTTGTTTCGGGAAAATAAGTTATTTGTGCCGAATTGTTCTTTGCGTGATTTGCTAGTTAGGGAATCCCACAACGGAAGGTTAATGGGACATTTTGGCATTGCTAAGACCTTAGCTATTTTGCAAGAACACTTCTTTTGGCCACACATGAAAAGAGATGTTGAGAGGATTTGTGGTAGATGTGCCAGGTTTGTATACACCACTACCTATTCCCAGTGAACCTTGTATTGATATTTCCATGGACTTTGTGTTAGGCTTGCCTAGGACTAGGCGTGGAAAAGATTCAATTTTTGTGGTTGTGGATAGGTTCTCTAAGATAGCACATTTTATCCCATGTCATAAATAGATGATGCTTCACTTATTGCTAATTTTTTCTTTAGGGAGATTGTGAGATTACATGCTATGCCTAGAACAATTGTTTCAGATAGAGTTGCTAAGTTTTAAGCTACTTTTGGAAGACTTTGTGGAGTAAGTTAGGTACTAAACTATTGTTTTCTACCACCTGTCACACACAAACTGATGGTCAAACCAAAGTAATAAATAAGACTTTGTCAACTATGTTGAGGGCTATCATTAGTAAGAACATTAAAACTTGGGAAGATTGTTTACCACATGTTGAATTTGCTTATAATCATACTGTTCACTCCGCTACTAAATTTTCACCTTTTGAAATTGTGTATGGGTTTAATCCATTAACTCCATTGGATTTATCTCCTTTACCGATGTCTGAGCGTGTTAATTTAGATGGCAAAAAGAAAGCTGATTTTGTGAGGCAGATTCACGAGATGGCAAGACTCAACATTGAGCAAAGAACAGAGCAATATGCAAAGCAAGCCAACAAAGGGCGTTTTAAGCTAGTCTTCAAACTTGGAGATTAGGTTCGAGTTTGGTTGCACATGAGGAAAGAAAGATTCCCAACACAAAGGCGTTCCAAATTGCTTCCAAGAAGAGATAGTCCTTTCCAAGTCTTAGAGCGCATCAACGATAATGTTTACAAACTAGATTTACTAGGTGAGTACAATGTTAGTGCCACTTTCAATGTTACTGATTTGAGACCTTTAGATGCAGTAGATGATTTGAAGACAAATCCTTTTCAAAAGGAGGGGAATGATGTAAATCCACGTTTGACTTTAAAGGATTCAATTCAAGTTCTCATTGGACCAGTTATAAGGGCTCGAGCTAAGAAGTTCAAGGAAGCACTTAACGGGCTGATTTGAGAAATATGGACTCAAGCAAATTCATGGAGGCCCATTGAGGGAAGTCCATGTGAGCCTTAGAATTACATTAGCCAAATCCAAGTTCTAGAAGACTTTGTCAAAGCCAAGCCTAATCTTTGCAAGTAATGGTCATGAACTTTGGGCATGAACTTAGCAATCATTATGGCTCAAATTTATTACTTTCCTTTTCGGGTTTTGGCTTGCATGCTAAGTTTTTCCTTTATTGGGTTAAATTACACAATTTGCGTCAAATCTACTGCCGTTGGTCGCAAACTAATATTTCACAATGTTCTTAGGTTATTTTAGCTTATTTTTACGTTTGTTGTGTTATTTGGGCTAAACATTCATTTAGTTGAAGCCCAAATTCGTGGTTAGGACCTGGTTTGTTAGTTTCCTATTCTGATTAGAATTAGTTTTAACTATTTATAGGACTGCAACCCTAATTGTAAAATAGACCATTATTTATCAACATTGTGAGAACGAATTCTCTATGGTTCTTTGAACAACTTTTTGAACTTATTGGAATTATCCGTGGTGTTCATCCTTGACTTATCAATCAACCGTTCCCTAGTTGATTGTGGCATCTTCTCCATACCAAGGTTCTTACCTCATCATAGGTAATGGGTCTCGGTTCCATCCTCTCAAACTTGTCTTAGAAACGGTCTTGGTGCCTTGTCTTGTTTACAAGTTTTGTCATAGGTTGGTGTAGTTTGTATCAGATCCTTTATTTAATTGAAGGGTAAGGTGAATGGGTTTTATTATTCTTTATTTGAGTGATGCAACAACTCAAGAGTTTGTGTAGAAGCAATTGCTTAGTGTTTTTTATGCTTAAGGATTTAATGGTCTAAACAAAGAGAATTTTGCTTTGTGAAGTGAAATTTGTAAACTTGGTGTGTATTTCTTTTTGAATATAATTCTTGTTGAATGTGGGTGTGTATTTCCTAATTGATGTTAACTGGTAACAAGGTTGATGTCTAATATTTAAAGGAATGGGATAAAGGTTAAAAAGTTAGAAACCCATCTTTTTAGGGGAGAGTAAATTGAATTTTAGTTTAATTTCCTAAACTGATATGTAATACCCCAAAAATTTCTAGAACAATTAAGTGTGAGCTAGGGACTTGATTGTGAGAAAATAAAATTTTTGACCTTAATCATAAAATTTTTAAATTTGAGGGACTTAAAAGAGAAAAGAAATTGGATAAGGATCGGCTGATTTTTTTTCTTCTTTCTTTCTTCCTCAGCCGCACGATTCTGCTCTTCTTCTTTTCCCCCGCAGCCGAACAAGAAGCCCAAGCCATCGACACTCCCACCCTCTTGAGAAACGATAAAAGCTTGATTTTTCCCTTCTTTTCTTGTTCAAGAACAAGATTTAGAACTTAGGAATCTTTCCCCTGTAGAAAATTTTAGATCTGCTCTGTTCCTTCCCCTCCGTCTGTTGCTCTTGGCTGTGTGGATGTGAATTTCTCAAGTTTCTAGTAAAGAAACAGCCACCAATTCCTCTGTTCTCCCTTGATTTGGCTTGGGTTTACTCTAATTTCTTTTGGTTTCTCCCAATTTCTGGTAGATCCCCTAAGTTCTTCTTCACTTCCCGCCGACTTCTCCAATCCGCCAGCTCCGATTTTGCTTACTGAATTTCTGGTATGTGATAGCTCCCTCTAAGTCCAAAATTATCCATTAGTGCTGAATTTATCCATTAATTGCTGCCCCTACACTGTCCGAATTTCTACTGAAATAGGGGATGAATTCTGGTAGCAATTAGAACAAAATTTAAGCTTAATTCATGTAGAATTTATGTGATTGGGTATTAATTGGCTGCTATGAGGTTCTAGAGAAAAATCCCGTGAATTAGCTATTGTTTTGCCAAAGCCAGTTCCTCCATGTTGTCCGTGAAATTGGAGAATTTTGTATATGTGTGTTTATGTACATATATGTAAATGCACAATTTGATTTTGTGCTCAAATTTCAGATAGAAGAAAAATAAGGAAATAAATAAATAAATAAGATTTCTTTATGGGATTAATGGCCAGCAACAATAGGAAGGTTTAAATGTTTAGTTTATATTGAGAATAAAATTGAGATGTCAGGTCATATGGTTATTAATTCTGGAATATTTTGGTTATTAATTCTGGAATATTTTGGTTAGGTTCTTGATTATTCTGTCACCCTAGCACTTGGAGTGAGTTTTCTATGTTATGTGATTGAGGTGAGTAAATTATGGTAACGCCCTTCGATTTCAAAGTAAAAGCATATTTTAAATTGTTTTTGAGATGGTGGTAAGGTTTAAATTGATTTTATTAACACTTGAGTATGATTGGTTTGAAATGAAATTATTATCCTTTTCATTGAGTGGAGCATGCCTACTTGGATTTTACTTAACTGCCCTGATGATTTGGAAATTATTCGTAAATTATGATTTTCTTGTTAAATCCATGCCCACATGGAATTTTTTCGGTTTATTCTTGGGATTTGAGATTGATCGTGAATTATAAATTTTTTTTCCTGTAAATCCTGCATGGTTTTGTCTCTAATATAGTCATGATTACTAACGCCTACTAGTGGGAGTTTGCGATTGCTAGCACATGTCGACATGTATACCGATATGACCAGTTCATTCTGTAATCCTACCAATGGGATAATACATTGGTTATTACTGACGCCTACCAATGGAAGTTTGTTAAACATTGGCCATGACTTATAGATGAGACTACTATTAAATCTTATTTTGCATTAATGGTTTATCATTGAACGCTTTGTTATGTTAAATTGTTTATCCGGCATGCTTAAATTTTACTCACGGGCTATCCATATTTTTACTTACTGAGATATCTTATCTCATAGTTTTCCTTGTCCACCATTTCAAGAAGTGAGACTCGAGGCATGGTTAACCATGGGGAGTGACGAGCTAGAAGGCTAGTCAGCATTTTGGACTTAGATTCTTTTTGGACTTAGGCCATTAGCCACACATGCTTGACACAGATGAGAAATGATAAATCATTTTTTTTGTATATTGAGTTTCCCTTAGTTATAGCCATGACTGTCTTATAAACTTTTGTACATCTTGACTAGTAAATTTTTAGTAATTGAAAGTTAGATATTAACTGAGTTTTTAGATTTAAGTTATGTAAATTGGTGATTATGAACACCGTAGGTTCTGAGCCTTGTGCTTTTGCGGGACCCGTTCACGAGTGCACGGCGTCTGTTTCTCTCCTGGTTTTGGGGTGTGACAGATTATGTGGTATCAAAGCCTAGGTTTAAATTAAATACCTAGGATTTGTTTAGAACTTGGCTAGCCAATGGATTATAGGAATGTGGTGAGGCATGAGAGTGGGGTTGATTAAGGGCACTTGTTTGATTCTTTCTTTAATGTGTGTTGGATTATAATTATTAGGTTTTTGGTCCCAGAAGTGGAAACTTGCCGGGAAATTCTAATTTGAGGCACTTGATTAATAGTCTATGAACCTTCTAAGTGGTTATAGATGGCTCCAAAATGACGTAGGCGCCCGAGGGGTGGCCATAAGGATCAAGGCATTCCTCCAATCCCAGCTGCTAGCCCCTCTGCCCAAGCTGCTCCTCAAGAGGGAGGGATGAGTAACCCTCAAATGGCCACTTTTTTTCAGAAATTTATGGCAGAGATGAAATGCCAAGCATCTTTTGCCGCGAGTGTGCCACCTCCATCCCTAGTGGTTTCCACTCCTACGGCCCCTGCTCCTATTTCACCTGCTCTTATATCTTCTTGTCACACCCCAAAACCAAGAGCGAAACAAATGCCGTGCACTTAGGAATGGATCCCATAATGCACAAGACTCGAAACTTACTGAGTTCATAATTACTAGTTCAGATAATTCAGATTTAGAAACTCCGGTAATATCTAATTTCTCTTTTTTTTTTCTAAATATTTACTAGTCGAAATATACAAGGATTTATAACTTCATTTATATAGTCATTACTATACTAAAGGAGTTCTGCACACAAAAATTTCTAAGTCAGCATGGGTGACTAGCGGCCTAGCTACAAAAACCTAAGTCCAAATAATGCCTAGCCATCTAGCTCGTCACTCCCCCAGGCTCCCCATGTGTTAGGTCTCACTACCTGAAATGGTGGACAAGGAAAACTATGAGATAAAATATCTTAGTAAGTAAATACGGATGCTCGGGATCAAAATTTAAAGCATGCCAATTAAACAGTTTCAACATAAACAGAGCATCTCAATAACAAACCGTTAATGCAGAATAAAATTAAATAGTGGTCTTCTCTATTAGTCATGACCAGTGTTATAAACCTCCCACTGGCAGGCACATGATTACTAGTGTATAATCCCATTAGTAGGATAACACGAGCGAACCAGTTTTATTAGTACACATGTCGACATGTGCTAGTGTTTATAAACCTCCCACTAGCTGGCACACAAATAACATGATCATATCGGAGACAAAACCAAGCAAGATTTACAGAAAAAAAAAAAAAAAACACGATTCACAATCGTTCTCGCTTTCAAGAATTAACTAAAAGAATCTCATATGGGCATGCTCAATTCTAGAAAATAAGGAAAATAATAAAAGTTCAATTTCCATTTTAATCATACTCAAATGAAAATAAACCCATTTAAACCTTACCACCATCTCAAAAACAAGTTAAAATATGCTTTAAAATTTAAGGGCATTACCATAATTTACTTACCTTAATTGCACAGGACAGAAGGCTTAACCAAGTGCTAAGGTCACAGGACGATCAAGGACCTAATCACAATATTTTCGAATTAATATCTATAAAGAAATTTTTATTTATTTATTTTATCTTATTTTTCTTCCTTTCGAATTTGAGCATTAACCAGGATTGGGTATATATATATACACAAATAAATACACCTATATATAGCTTCCCCAACTCACGGACACAATGGGGAACAAGGGTTTTTTTTCCATTTTTCCCTTTTTCTTTCGGATATCACCACAACAGCCACACCCATCAATTTCCTACATAAACCAACAACCAAACTCATTCTCAAGTTGTCGGAATGCTCACTATTTCAATAGAATTTTCGAACATAAGGGCACCCATACAACCAATTAAACTCAACAAGGCAGCAATTAAATGGTTTAAAATTCAGCTTTAAAAGCTGTCTCATACAAGAAATTTCTAGCAAGCAAAACCGAGCCTGGCAGGTTCAACGGTTGGCGGGAATTGAAGAAGAGCTAACACAAAATTGGAAAGAATAAGAACAATTGGAGTGAACCCAAACCAAATCAAGTGAAAAGAGATGAATTCATGGCTGATTCATACCAAAAAAAAAAAAAAATTGAAAATTCACACCCACATAAGCTGAAGTCGGCGGCAGGGGAGCATGAAGGCAGTAAGATTTGGAATTTTCTACAAGGGGGGAAGATTTCTAAGTCCTAGACTTGTTCTTGAACAAGAGGAGAACAAAAATCATCAAGTTCTCTTACCAATTTTCCAGGTGGAGGCGTCGGAAATGGCTGGGCTCACTTCCGGCTACAGAGGAGAAAAAAAGGCAGAGCAAACACGCGAAAATGGCTGGGGAAGAAAGAAAGAAAGAAAAAAAGAAAAAAAAAAGGAAAGTCAGCCGGCCTTATCCCCAAAAATCTTTTAAACCCTTTGGAATTTGAAATTTTGACTATTAGGTCCATTAATAACGTTTCCTCACCATTAAGTCCCTAACTCAACTTTAATGTTCTTGAAATTTTTTTTTTTTTGGGGTATTACACTTCTGCTCATGCTGTGCCTAGCTGGAAGATCTATACAGAATTCCAGAAGGTGGTGACCAAGAAATTTGATGGTACCGCGGGTTTTGAGCAGGTAGGGTCATGGATTACCGAGGTGGAGAAGGGATTTCGCCTACTGAAGATTTCTGATGACCTTAAGATCAATGTGGGCAGTTATATGCTTATGGGTGAAGCATTGACTTGGTGGGAGAGTTACTTGAAGCTACACCAAGGAGAGTCTGAATTGAGCACTTGGGATGGTTTTAAAAAGGTGTTCATGCAAGAATACATACCATATAGCAAAAGACGTCAACTGCAAAGGGAATTTGCAGATCTTAAACAAGGGTCACATACTGTTGAACAATACAAGGAGTTTGACCGTTATCTACCTTTTGTGGGTAGTCAAGTCGGGGATGCGCAAGCCAAAGTTGATAGATTTTTATGGGGCTTGAATCCTAACATTTATCTGGCGGTGAATCAATTCAAACCCGCCACTTATAGAGAGGTGGCGGACAGAGCCATAAATCAAGAGAAGGCTATGGCTAAAGTCAAGACACCAAATTCACAAAAGGTTGGGTCATCCCTTGGGAAGAGAAAATTCGATGGGAGTCATAGACCCTTTATCCCTGCACCACCTAAGTCTGATACTGGTAAGGGTTCTAAAGAGCTAAGGGTTGCCAAGACTGTGGGTCAAGCATCAGCAGCCCAACGTACTCATCCTGCTCCACCTATTTACCCCACTTGTGGAATAGTTGAGCACACCCGCGACTAGTGTTACGTTACTACTGGGGCTTGGTTCAAATGTGGCAAGCAGGGACATCGAGTTGCTAATTGCCCGCAGCCGAACCCCAGAGCTCAGAGTACTCAATCTATATCTCAGCAGGGTTCTACTAATCAGGGGGCACAAAAACAGAATGTCAGGGTTATGACAAGAGCCCAACAGGCGAGAGTGCACGTGATGACTCACAAGGAAGCTGCAGCTACCGACGTAATCACGGGTACTTTACCTATCAATTCTGATTATGCACATGTTTTATTTGATTCAAGTGCATCACATTCTTTTGTAGCTCGATCTTATGCTTTGAAATGAGCCTTACCTATTGATATCTCCAATTTTGAACTGCATGTGGACACCCCTTTAGGAGGGGTGATAACTACTAGAGATGTGTGTAGGATTGTAGATATTTATATTGATGGTAGACAATTGAGTGCTAGCCTGTTTGTTTTAGATATCTTTGATTTTGACATCATTTTGGGGAGGAATTGGCTATCAAAATATTTTGCCTCTATAGACTGCAACCGTAAATGGGTAATTTTTAATATTCCTGGGAAGCCAAAATTTAGTTTCCAAGGCAGTGGTTCCTTTGCTCCACCCATGCTGATATCGGCCTTGTAGGCTCAAAAATATCTTATAAATGGTTGACAGGGTTTCTTAGTTTCTGTCGCTGATGCTAGTAGTGTGACGTTGAGACTAGAAGACATCCCTGTGCTATGTGAGTTTCCGGATGTATTTCCGGAGGATCTCTCAGGTTCACCTCTAAATAAGGAGATTGAATTTGCTATTGATCTTGTTCTTGGCACCAGACCTATTTCCAAAGCCCCGTACCGTATGGCCCTCGCGGAGTTGAAGGAGTTAAAGGTCCAACTGGAGGAACTCCTTGAGAAAGGGTTTATACAACCTAGTGTGTCACCTTGGGGAGCTCCAACGTTGTTTGTTAAAAGAAGGATGGGAGCATGAGACTGTGCATAGATTATCGAGAACTGAATAAGGTGACTATGAAGAACCGATATCCACTTCCTAGAATTAATGACTTGTTTGATCAACTTAAGGGTGCCCAAGTGTTTTCTAAGATTGATCTGCGATTTGGCTACCATCAGTTGAAGATTAAACCTGATGATGTGCCAAAGACTGCCTTCCGTACCCGCTATGGTCACTATGAATTCTTGGTTATGCCTTTTGGCTTAACTAATGCTTCTGTAAGATTTATGGATTTGATGAATCGGGTATTTAGCAAGTACCTAGATAAGTTTGTGGTTGTCTTTATTGACGACATTTTGATTTACTCTTCTAGCCATGCTCTTCATGAAAAGCACTTAAGGATAGTTCTCGAGACATTAAGAAGTGAGAGGCTGTTTGCTAAATTTAAGAAGTGTGAATTTTGGCTAGATAATGTTGCATTCCTAGGTCACGTTGTGACTAAGGATGGAATCTTCGTTGACCCCCAGAAGATTGAGGCCGTGGTGGATTGGAATAGGCCAAATAGTGTTGTAGAAGTCCGTAGTTTTCTAGAATTGGCTGGTTATTACCACTGATTTGTGGGGGATTTCTCTAGAATTGCTTTGCCACTGACCCGTCTGATCAGGAAAGACACCAAATTTGAGTGGACTCCAAAGTGTGAGAAAAGCTTTTTGACCCTTAAAGAGAAACTAGTCACTACTTCTGTACTCGCACTTCCCATCAATGGGGAAAGATTCACTATATATAGTGATGCCTCTAAAAAGGGTTTGGGATGTGTCTTGATGCAGAAAGATAGGGTTATTACATATGCTTCACGGCAGTTAAAGCCTTATGAAGAAAATTACCCTACCCATGATCTAGAGTTGACAGCTGTAGTATTTGCACTCAAGATGTGGAGGCATTATCTATACTGTGAGACCTGTGAAATTTTCACCGATCACAAGAGTCTCAAGTATATTTTCACTCAAAAGTAGCTTAACATGAGGTAGAGGCAATGGCTTGAACTTTTGAAAGATTATGACTTGACCATTAGCTACCATCCAGGCAAAGCCAACAAAGTAGCAAATGCGTTGAGTAGGAAGTCCTCTGGCACTGCCTCTAGCATCCTTGCCACACAAAAGGAATTACTTAAGGATCTTGTGAAACTAGATGTGGAGTTGAGAGTGGACAGTACTACAACTTATCTAACTACTCTCAGTGCACAACTGGCATTAATTGATTGAATTAAAGTTGCCCAACAAAAAGATCCTTTCTTGCAAAGGTTGAAGGAAAAAGTAAAGACGAGGGAACCCCACATGCAAGAATTCAGAGTTTCTAACGATGAGACTCTGTGGTTTGGTGATAGGTTGTGTGTACCAAGAGATCATGCTTTAAGGCGTGAGATTATGGGAGATGCCCATAATACTAGTTACACAGTTCACCCAAGTAGCACCAAGATGTATCGTGACTTGCGTGGTACATTTTGGTGGCGGGATATGAAAAGGGAGATAGCTAGATTTGTCTCATAATGCCTGACTTGCTAGAAAGTCAAGGCTGAACACCAAAGACTTCCTGGGAAGCTACAGCTATTACCTATTCCCCAATGGAAGTGGGAGAATATCACCATGGACTTTGTGATGGGTTTATCGTGAACCTTAAAGGGAAATGATTCCATCTAGGTCATCGTTGATCAATTGACCAAGTCAGCACATTTCTTACCTTACTAAACTAGTGCATCCATTGAGAAGCTTGCCAATATGTACATGAATGAGATAGTCAGGCTGCATGGAGTCCCTGTGTCTATTGTGTTAGATAGAGATACAAGATTGTTATCTCATTTCTGGACAAGCTTGCAGCAGGCACTTGGTACTCAATTAAATTTCAGCACGGCCTTCCATCCTCAAACTTACAAGCAATCTGAGAAAACTATTCAGATACTTGAGGACATGTTGAGGGCTTGCGTTCTAGATTGGAAGGGTTCATGGGATCAACACTTATCTATGGCTGAATTTGCCTATAATAATAGTTACCAGTCCAGCATCCGCATGGCACCGTTTGAGGTTTTGTATGGTCGAAGGTGTAGATCACCTGTTTGTTGGGCAGAGGTAGGCAAGAGAAGCATTCTGGGCCCAGAATTAGTGCAATAGTCTTCTGAGATTGTGCAATTGATCAAGGAACGCCTTCATGCTGCACAGAGTAGGTAGAAAAGCTGTGCGAATAAAAGGAGACGAGACCTTGAGTTTGAAGTCGGTGACCATGTATTTTTGAAGGTGTCACCCACTTGAGGTGTCCTCAAGTTTGGCATCCGGGGAATATTGAGTCTGAGGTATATTGGACCATATCCTATCTGGAAAGGGTTGGCGAGGTAGCTTACCGATTGGAGTTGCCTGGAAATTTAGCGGGTGTTCATTATGTGTTCCATGTGTCTTTACTTCGGAAGTATATTCCCAACCCGAACCACTTCATTGACCCCGAACCCATTCAGCTTCGAGAAGATCTCACTTATGATGAGCACTCGATCTATATTTTAGATTTCAAAGAGAGGGTAATGCAGAGAAGGACTATTCGTTTTGTTAAGGTCCTCTGGGATAACCATTCAGTTGAAAAAGCTACTTGGGAGTTGGAATCCAAGATGAGGCAAGAACATCCGCACCTCTTCCAAGATTGAGGTATGAGTTTAGGGGACTAAACTCCTTTTTATGAGGGGTGAATGTAATACCCCAAAAATTTCTAGAACAATTAAGTGTGAGCTAGGGACCTAATTGTGAGAAAATAATATTGTTGAGCTTAATCATAAAATTTTCAAATTTGAGGGACTTAAAGAGAAAAGAAATTGGATAAGGATCGGCTAATTGTTTTTCTTCTTTCTTTCTTCCTCAACCGCGCGATTCTGCTCTTCTTCTTCTCCCCTGCAGCCGAACAAGAACCCCAAGCTACGAACACACCCACCCTCTTGAGAAACGGTAAAAGCTAGATTTTTCCCTTCTTTTCTTGTTCAAGAACAAGATTTAGAACTTAGAAATCTTTCCCCTGCAGAAAATTTCAAGTTTGCTCTGTTCCTTCCCCTCCGTCCACTACTCTTGGCTATGTGGGTGTGAATTTCTCAAGTTTCTGGTAAGGAAATAGCCACCAATTCCTCTGTTTTCCCTTGATTTGGCTTGGGTTTACTCTAAGTTCTTCTTCACTTCCAGCCGGCTTCCCCAACCTACAAGCTCCGATTCTGCTTGCGGAATTTCTGATATGTGACAGCTCCCTCTAAGTCCAAAATTACCCATTAGTGCTGAATTTATCCATTAATTGCTACCCCTGCACTGTCCGAATTTTTGCTGAAATAGGGGATGAATTTCGGTAGCAATTATAACAAAATTTAATCTTAATTCATGTAGAATTTATGTGATTGGGTATTACTTGGCTGCTGTGAGGTTCTAGAGAAAAATCCCGTGAATTAGCTATTGTTTTGCCAAAGTCGATTCCTCCATGTTGTCCATGAAATTGGAGAATTTTGTATATGTGTGTTTATGTACATATATATAAATGCACAATCTGATTTTGTGCTCAAATTTCAAATGGAAGAAAAATAAGGAAATAAATAAATAAGATTTCTTTATTGGATTAATGGCCGACAACAATAGGACGGTTTAAATGTTTAGTTTATATTGAGAATAAAATTGAGATGTCAGGTCATATGGTTATTAATTCTGGAATATTTTGGTTAGGTTCTTGATTATTTTGTCACCCTAGCACTTGGAGTGAGTTTTCTATGTTATGCGATTGAGGTAAGTAAATTATGGTCACGCCTTTTGATTTTAAAGTAAAAGCATATTTTAAATTGCTTTTGAGATGGTAGCAAGGTTTAAATTGATTTTATTAACACCTGAGTATGATTGGTTTGAAATGAAATTATTATCCTTTTCATTGAGTGGAGCATGCCAACTTGGAGTTTACTTAACTGCCTTGATGATTTGGAAATTATTTGTAAATTATGATTTTACTGTTAAATCCATGCCCAAATGGAATTTTTCCGTTTTATTCTTGGAATTTGAGATTGATTGTGAATTACGGATTTTTTTTTCTTATAAATCTTGCATGGTTTTGTCTCTAATATAGTCATGATTACTGACGCCCGCTAGTGGTAGTTTGCAATTGCTAGCACATGTCGACATGTATACCAATAGGGCCAGTTCATTCTGTAATCCTGTCAATGGAATAATACATTGGTTATTACTGACGCCTATCAGTGGGAGTTTGTTAAACACTGGCCATGACTTATAGCAGAGACTACTACTGAATCTTATTCTGCGTTAATGGTTTATCATTGAATGCTTTGTTATGTTCAATTATTTATCAGGCGTGCTTAAATTTTACTCACGTGCTATCCATATTTTTACTTATTGAAATATCTTATCTCATAGTTTTCCTTATCCACCATTTCAGGAAGTGAGACTCGAAGCACGGTTAACCAAGGGGAGCGGTGAGCTAGAAGGCCAGTCAGCATTTTGGACGTAGATCCTTTTTGGACTTAGGCCGTTAGCCACACATGCTTGACATAGATGAGAAATGATAAATCATTTTTTTTTGTATATTGAGTTTCCCTTGGTTATAGCCATGATTGTCTTATAAACTTTTGTACATCTTGACTAGTAAATTTTTGGTAATTGAAAGTTAGATATTAACCGAGTTTTTAGATTTAAGTTATGTAAATTGGTAATTATGAACACCGTAGGTTTCGAGCCTTGTGCATTTGTGAGACCCGTTCACGAGTGCACAGCGTCCGTTTCGCTCCTAGTTTTGGGGCGTGACATGATATTTTAAATTTCAATTTGATTTTAAACACATTTTATTTTATCTTATATGATTTTAGAAAAAAAAAGACAGCTGAATATGCTGCTACGCAAGAGGAAGAAAGTTTTGACCCTACAATAGCCTATGGTGAGTTATTAGTTAGGGCAACTGGTGGGGTCAATAAAGGATGGCTGAAAGGTCTAGACGTTTATACACATCCACAAGATGTAGTTGTGAGCACATCCAAACGGGAACCATTCAGCCCACCTATCATAGGACAATCTAGTAGGGTTAAGGAATTAGAGCAGACTATCCAAGATTGAGGGTAGATAATGAGAGCCTTCAACAATCATAGAGCACCTTTATGATAGATAATGAGAGCCTACGTTCATCACAGTTGACCCTTGCTACACAGATGTAGCAACTTAACTAGCATTTAGGGATAACCCCAGCGAATACTAATGGCACCGTTACCCCTCGAACACCATGGGATATTTAGGCCTTTTATATTTACATTAGACATTTGTATTTAGTTTATATTTATAGTAGACATTAGAGACTTATTTATTTGTACTGAATGAACAAAATTTCCTTTTATTTTGTATGATAAATATCATAAATTATGTTAGAATATTTTCACACTGTCAATAGTTAACACATTATTTTCATTTTAAATATCGATTAAATCTTTCTAGTAAAATGGTAAGAATTCCATGTGGTTGGATTTATCATATGCAGACCATTAACGGTCCTTATATGTTATATGGATCGTTAACAGTTCATATAACAAATATCGATTAACCCCAATTAAATGGAAAGAATTGCATGGTTGGATTTATGATATACGGACCGATATATATGGACCGTTAATGGTCCAAACATCATATATGGGTTGAGAACAGTCCTTATATCCTTAAGTCCACTTCCCCTCCCCCAAAAGTTACTATTGCAGCTGTTCAAATAGAATTAACATAATTATATTATTTATGGTTAAATATCTAATTAAAGTATTTAATAAATTAAAATTAACAACTAATATAAAACAAATAAAATTTTATAAAGATAAAGTAGAAAATATAAACAAAATTTTAACAAAACAACACACAATATAGAAAATATTATTATAGTAATTAATAAATTAATTTTAATACAAAAAATAAATATAATTAAGAACGTTCTTAGACCAAAAAAAAAAGGTGTAAGAGAAGATTTTGGACACATATTAGAACCAAAGACAGTTCGAATATTATATACGGACCGTCATTGGTCTGAATGTGTGTCCAAAATCCACTTCTTTCACTCGACACCTTATCCCGCACCTGATTCATTTTGCTCTCATTTTAGTCATAGGATTCCGAATGCTTGCATACCAAAGAGGTTAACCTTATCCAAATATTTTCAAGCCTCCACGTTTATGGCTTCGTAACGACACAACCCAACCTTAACATTAAAAACCATGCATCTACACATTATTTATTTTGCAACAATGTAACCCCACACCATCATTAAACAATTTTAGGTTGGCAACCGATAGTTTCGGGGTTGGGGGTGACTATAATGCAGATGTGCACGCAATTGGCTTTCGTAGAAAAGGAATCGAGGCACGGGAGAGTGGTGATGTCCTTAAATGACAAAAATAAAAAAGTGTAAAAGGAGAATTTTCTAGATTTTGGACGTATATTCAGACGAAGGACAATTCAAATATCACATATGAACTATCATTGGTCCAAATATCGAGGCACAAGAGGGTGGTATGTCCTTAAATGAAAAAAATAAAAAAGTGTAAGAAGGGAAGCTTATAAATTCTGGATACATATCCGGATCAATAACAATCCAAATATCACATCATTGGTTTGAATATCAGGGCACAAGAGGATGGTGATGTCCTTAAAAGAAAAAAAAAATAAAAAAAGTGTAAAAGGAGGAGTTTCTAGATTATGGAAACATATCTAGACCAATAACGGTCCCAATATCATATACGGATTGTCATTGGTTCGAATAAGTGTCTAGAATCCACTTCTCTCACCTAATGCCTTATCTTACGCCTGATTCAATCACCTTTCGTTTAAGCCACAGGATTTCGAATGCTTACGAGTCAAAGAGGCTAACTTTAATTGAATAATTTTAAGCCTCCACATTTGCATCTCTTCATTTGCGTCTTCGCAATGACACGTCTCAACCTTAAAGTTAATAACCAGGCATCAACGCATTCGCAATTTTGTAATGATGTGACTCCACGCCATCGGTAGACAATTTTAGGTTGGCAACCAATGGTTTTGGGGTTGGGGATGACTGTAGTGCTGATATGCACACAATTAACTTTCGTAGGAACGGAATCAAGGCACAAAAGGGTGGTAATGTCTTTAAACGAAAAAAATAAAAAAGTGTAAGAGGAGAAGCTTCTAGATTCTAGACACATATCCAGACCAATGATGGTTTGAATATCATATACGAACCTCATTGGTCCGAATATCAAAGCACAAGAGGGTGATGATGTCCTTAAATGAAAAAAATGAAAAAGTGTAAGAGGAGGAGCTTATAGATTCTGGACACATATTCGAACCAATAACGGTCCGAATATGTGTCTAGAATCCACTTCTCTCACTTGACGCCTTATCTTACGCCCGATTCATTCCTCTCTCGTTTGAGCCACAAGATTCCAAATGCTTGCGTGCTAAAGAGGCTAACTTTAATTGAATAATTTCAAGGCTTTATGTTTGCATCTTTGCAATGACACAACTCAACCTTAAAGTTAATAGCCATGCATCTACAAATTTGTGATTTGCAATGACGTGACTCCATGCCATCATTAGACAATTTTAGGTTGGCAATCGATGGTTTTAGGGTTGGAGTGACTATTATGCTGATGTGCATGGAATCAGCTTTCGTAGGAACGGAATCAAGGCATGGGAGGGTGGTGATGTCCTTAAATGAAAAGAATAAAAAAGTGTAAGAAGAGAAGCTTCTAGATTCTAGACACATATTCGAATCGATGACAATCCAAATATAATATATGGATTGTCATTGGTCCAAATATCAGGGCACAAGCTTGTGGTAATGTCCTTAAATGAAAAGAATAAAAAAGTATAAAAGGAGAAGCTTCTAGATTCTGGACATATATCCAGACCAATGACAGTTCTGATATCATAAATGGACTATCATTGGTCTGAATATTGGCAATGTCCTTAAACCAAAAAAAAAAAAAAAAGTGTAAGAGGAGGAGGGGCTTATAGATTCTAGACACATTTTCGAACTAATGACAGTCCAAATATCATATACGAACCATCATTGGTCCGAATATGTGTCTAGAATCCACTTGTCTTACCTGATGCCTTATCTTGCACCTAATTCATTCCACTCTCATTTGAGCCGCAAGATTTCAAATGCTTATGTGCCAAAGAAGCTAACTTTAATTGAATAATTTCAAGCCTCCACATTTTCATTTTCACAATGACACGACCCAAACTTAAAGTTAATAACCATGCATCTACACATTTGTGATTTTGAAATGATGTGACTCCACGCCATCATTAGGCAATTTCAGGTTGGCAATCGATGCTTTCGGGGTTAAGGGTGACCATTGTGTTGATGTGCACGCAATTGGCTTTCATAAGAATGGAATCCAGGCACGAGAGGGTGGTGATGTCCTTAAACGAGAAGAATAAAAAAGAGTAATAGGAGAAGCTTCTAGATTTTAGACACATATCCAGACTGATGATGATCCAAATATAATATACGGACCATCAGTGGTTCAAATATCAAGGCACGAGCTAATGGTGATGTCCTTAAACGAAAAGAATAAAAAAGTGTAAGAGGAGAAGTCTCTAGATTCTAGACACATATTCGGATCGATTATAGTCCGAATATAATATATGGACCATCATTGGTCTGAATATCGAGCATAGGCTAATGGTGATGTCCTTAAACGAAAAAAAATAAAAAAAAAAGTGTAAGAGGAGAAACTTCTAGATTCTAGACACATATTTGGACAATGATGGTCCGTACATGATATTCAAACCGTCATTGGTCCGAATATCGAAACACGGGAGAGTGGTGATGTTTTTAAATGAAAAGAATAAAAAAATGTTAAAAGAGTAGTTTCTAGATTCTAGACACATATTCAGACCAATAACAGTCCGAATGTTTATACGGATTGTAATTGGTTCGAATATAGCCAATTCTGATCATTCAATTGCTTTTTGGTGTAGTATTATATATTCAGACCGATTTCGGTCCGTAAATTTATATCGCCAAAATTTTGCCAACAATTTTATTGGTGGTCGAGTTGGCGCTCATTTATTTAGTTTCGAACTAATATCAATCCGTATAAATGCTATATATTAACAGCATCCCTCCTAACCCTTTCATCATTTTTCTGATTTCTTTTCTTCCTCTCTTTGTTTTCTCTTCTTCCTCTCGTCCTTTTCTGTTTTTCCTCACTACTTTCTTTCTCTCTTCCTCATCTTTCTTATTTCCTCTCTTCCTTCTCTCTTCCTTTTATTCTTCTTCCTCTTTTCTT